AAAGAGTGTCCTGCTTGTATCAAAGTATTTCCAGTGATGACAATAATATATATCAGGGGTGTCAAAGATATGGTTAGTGGAGCTATATCTTCCAGCCTGCAGTGCTGCCCACTAGGGCTGTACGAAACAGCACCGTTTTGTTTCGATTTCCATTTCGCCATTTCAAAGGGACAGTGTTTCATTTTGTTGTTTTGTTTCATTTCAAAGCACTGTTCCATTTCATTTCATCGAAATTGTTTCTCTGTTTCAATGCATTTCGACATTTCCCCCATAGGTTATAATGGGGAATCATGAAAATGCCTATAACTTTGTAATTTCTTGCCTGATTTGGATGAAAATTGCAGGGATTGTAGCCCCTTCAGAGGGCATTCAGCCTGCCAAGCTTCAAGGAGATAGGTACAGGTGTTTCTCAAACTGGTCAAAATAAAACTTGTATCATTTGCCGGCAGCATCAGTCTGCTGTCATCCCATGCACAGATCTGGGGGCCTGCACCCCCTGGGAGGGCTGCAGGGCTGTGCTGGAGTCTTCCCAGGGGGCACAGGCCCCTGGATCTGCGTGTGGGATGACAGCACCAGCTGCGGCCAGAGGCAGCACTAGGCTTCCCAGCCCTCGGCACAGGCTGCACCCACCGCTTGCCCCAGCCGGCAGCAGCAGCCTAGTGTCATCTTGCGTGCAGACCTGGGGGCCCATTCTCCCCAAGAGGAATCTGGCACAGCCCTGCAGCCCTCCCAGGGGGTGCAGGCTGAAAGATTTGCACGTGGGATGACAGCATGCTGCCACTACCAGCTGGAGCCAGTGGCAGCACCTGTCAACCTGGCAGTCAGCACAGGCTGTGCCCAGCACCAGTCTCAGCCAGCAGCGGCATCCTGGTATCATCCCACACACCCATGCCTTCCGGGAGAAATCTGGCACAGCCCCACAGCACTCCTAGGGGGCACGGGCCCCTGGATCTGCACATGGGATAACAGCATGCTGCCGCTGCTGGCTGAGGCTAGTGCCAGCACCTGTCTTCCAAGCACTTGGTACAGGCTGCACCCAGTGGCAGCCTGCTGTCATCCCACATCATGCAGGGGCCTGCACACCCCAGGAAGGGTTGGGGGAAGCAATCAGAGAGCTGGGGGAAAGATCGGGGAGCTGGGGAATCCAACCAGGAACTGAGGGAATGTTCAAGGATCTGAACATTCCCCCAGCTGCTGGTTGGATTCCCCAGCTCCCTTTTCTATTCCCCAACCCCCTGTTTGATTTCCCCAGTTCTTTCATATCTTCCTCCAGCCCTCTGATCACTTCCCCAGCTCTTCCCGGGGGGCATGGGCCCCTAGACCATCATGCTGGGTTTCAGCAACTTGCCGCTGCCATTTCAGTGGCAGCCTACTGAAACTCCATGTGCAGATCGGGGGCCCACACCCCCAGGGAAGAGCTGGGGAAATGATCAGAGAGCTGGGGGAAGAGATCAGAGGGCTGGGGAATCCAACAGGGAGCTAGATGTCAGTATAAGATAGCAGTCCTTCCTCCTTCTTCCTCCTCCCTCTCTTTACTTTCTGTTTAGCTGCAGCAAGTCTGGCTTTGAAACTCAAAATGTTTTGAAACTTTTGAAAGATTTTGAGTGCCCTCATTTCATTTCAAAGCTGTTTCAAACCCTTTTGTTTTGTTTCAATTTCTCTGTTTCGAGCTCGAAATGTGTTGGAACAGCTTTAAAGCCAAATGCCTGTCAAAATTTTGCACAGCCCTACTGCCCATATGTCTTAGAGGGATCCACAGGGAGCATGTGGAGTATGCCAGATGGCCCCATGCGCTTCATGCCCTCCCGCTCCAGCTTGGTGCCCAGACTGGAGGAGCACCCATGCCACTCTGAGGCTATGTTGCATGCAGTGGCCAAATCAGGGCTGCAGGGCCATGCAGCAGAGCTTCAGGGCCACATAGTAAAGTGAGAACTGGACTGGATCACATGGGCTCCCACTCCGGCCAATTCAGGATGCATTGGATCTAGAACGCAGACCTGGTCTTTGCATCTGGATGAGTTTGATACTCTTGTCGTATATTATTATTACAATTGTTGTCATTATTATTGATGTTGTTATTAGATTAATCTATGGATAAATAATATTTTTCCCTGTCTCTTCTCTATCCAAGAGTTCCACATTTTTTAGTTTTGTTCTCTGGACAAATTGTGGGATCAGTGGTAGAAAACAAATGAGACTTTTTTTACATCAGTCATTTGTAGACTTGTATTCCCTGCAGAAGTAACCCAAGTATCAGCTCCAACTTGAGTGCCTGCCACACTAAAATGCTTGAGTGTGATGATGATTTTATCCCTACAGGCTCTGGATGGAGTTAACACTTCTAATTACCTAGTAATAAAGTCCAGACACTCTAAAGCTCAAGTGTTATTTCACAATATGGCTACCTGCACTCAATTTAGTTCAGCTGTAAGTAACTCAAGCTCATTCTGCAGTGAAGACGAAGTGTATCAGGAGGATTTTTTTTATTCCCTTTTTCTAATCCAAGTGAGGGACAAGAAAACCCTACCACCAAACTTTCTAACCTTTTGACTTGCCTGTGAAACATAATGGAATAAATATACAAAAGAAATAGGGATTAGTGAGAATGAAAAACTGAAAATCTTCTATTTTATTGCAGAGCAATTCTTCCCAAAAAAATAACCTCAAGACATAGGCTTTTGTTGTCTCAGGGCACATTGTTTTAACTTTCAGTCAGTAGTAATATGAATATACCCTATAGAATATTGAAAACTGCTCATAATGAGCAGACAACAGCAAAGAAATCTTGTAAGTTTTGCTTTTCTTTTTGTCTGTCTGAGGCAGAGGATGCCTGTTCATTTTACTACTATAAGAAAACCTAGCCAAAGAGTCTGCTTCAAGAAAGCATTACTAGTTATTAACTAGCACTTTCCTGTAAAATAAATGTTTTATGGCTGGGGAACAAAAACAAAAAAGCCTTCAGCCAAAAATAATCTGTTCCAGTACCTATAGTGATTTACTGCATAGTTCTGGCAAACCATCCTCCTAGCTTTTCCAGAACTACTTAGGCATTTGCCAGACAAGTAACAACTGACTATTCTTCTGTGTGATAGGCAGTGACAATAATAATCTACACAGGTCTATAGGTTTCCATTTGTTATTGAAGCACCAAATAAAGACATGTAAGCACTGGTACTTTAAAGAGCAATCTGCCAAGAAATTTCTACTGTTATCATTTACTTTTCTATCAAATAAATCTTTTAAATAACAAGAGAAAAGGTCCTTCAAAATTTTCCTAAGTTAATAATGTTTTTTTCCCTGCCAACATTTCCATACTGACAGCTACTAGGGACAAAAATAGTCTCTCTCACACACACACACACACACACACACACACCAGTGGAACAAAAAGAATAGGTTTTCATGATTTTCATGAAAAAGGAATACTGAAGTCTTGAAGGAAAGTAACTTCAGATGAAGTACAATACATTTAAATGAATGTTATTAATTCACTGTAACTTATCTTTTCACCATCACTTCTAATCACACGCTTCTACAATGAGCTTTGCCTCTCCAAAACGAGTATATGAAATAACACAAGAAATAATGATTCTAGCAAATGATTTTGGTCAGCCAAGGTCCCATCAATACAAAACCAAATTCTGTCATGTTAGTGGGGATGTACCAGCATAACACGGTAATTCTTCAAAAATTTACAACTGTGCCCTTTAGTTGGCAAAATAATTTCCACAGCTAGCTAAGAGAATACCTTATACCAAATATTATGGGAAGTTTTCTAGGAAATTAAAACATTTTAATGTTACTGTAAATTTCCACCACTGCTTTTGTATTGGGGGTAAAGGTGGTTAGGAATTTTTCAGTGTCATGTAAATACCACAATTCTATAATGCTCATGCACTGCTCTGAGTGAAATGCAACACTCTGAAGAATGCCAATCTGGGGCATTTTCCCTATTTTGAGGTTTTAAACTGATTTCTAAATGCTGCAAAGTACTTTTGTCCCTCATCTTGATGGTGAATTTGACTCCATGTTAAGAGGTAAATTGGGTGGCAGAAATTTTAACTAATATGGCACTAGCTTTGGCAAAGAAGTCTGCAGCTGACATTCTGCCAGTGATTGTTCTAAAAAAGAGAGAAAGAGAGAGAGAGAGAAACAGATACTAGAGAGAGAATTATGGAATAGACTTTGCCATGTATGAGTCTGAAACACAAAGCAAAGCAGACAATGTTTGTAATGTGTGTATAGTCACACAGGTAAAATACAAAATGTAGTGAGTTCTCTAGGACTCCTTTCAGTGACTGAAAAGTAACTGAACTCAGGCTACAGGTGTTACTGAAATGGAATACTCTAGCATTCTTTTAAATAGTGGTTTCCATTGAAAAGTCAATTTTTATCAGCAGATGCTGTTGCAAACTCCAGTTATTTTCTGTTCTATGGCTATATGGAAACTTCAATAGTTGAAATACTTCACTGTATTAACTATTGTCAAATGATTACTTTTAAATAGTAACTTCTGTCCAGTACATCAAAAATACCTCGTCACCTCCAGACTGACTTTGATTTAGTTGTTTATTATTTTGTAATATTGAGCTTTCTTTGTTCCTGACACAGGTGGTCCGGCCGTATCAGACAATGTCCAATCCCATGAGTAAGCTGACAGTACTCAATAGTATGCACTCCCATTTTATTTTGGCTGACAATGGAACAACAGGCAAATATGGAGCAGAAGTGAAACTCCGTAGACAACTGGAAAAGCACATCTCACTTCAGAAGATAAATACTAGTGAGTAACATCCTGTCTATATTATTGTTTTAATTACAGTTATAAGGATACCAGGACTTGAAGTAAACAACACTTTAACCTATGAAGAGAGTGTAGTCTTTTAAAGTAATTCTGAAAGTCTAAAATAGTGAAGAGGGGTTAATACAGGTTGATAATATATGTAGAAGTATTGCTCGGATGAAATAGCTGAATTTGTTTCTGGTAATTTAGCACCATTCTGAGAAAAGCTCTCTGATCCATTTTATTCTTGTGAACTCCACCTCAACATTACATTAAACTTTCAAGCTTTTCTCTAGTAGCCTATAATATTTCTGTATCTCATCTACAAGAAGGCACTTCTTTGCAAAATAAAATGCACAAAAAAGATGGGAATATTGGGCAAGCATTTTTGGTCAACAAAATAAGTAAAACAAGGAAGCTTGAAAGAAACATAACTGTCACTACAATTAACATTCTTCCATAGCTCAGGCCTATTACTTTTAACATTTTGGGTGGAAGTAGTTGTTTTTATATCTGTTCTGTGTCATGTCACAAACCAACACCATGGAGATCACAAATTTTGGGTGGGAACTATCTTTCTTTTTAGTATTTCTTTCCTTGTTTTTTACCTTTTATTTTTAAGTGCATTTAATTGTTGAAATACAGTGGTTTTAAAGGTTTGATGGAGCATCAACTCTGGAGCTGAAATTGAACTCTGCTTATCTACCAAATCACTTGGTGCAGCAGCAAGTCAAACACAGCTGTTCAGCCCTACCAGTAAATCTCAGCCTTTACCTGGCTGAGACTGTTTCAGGAATTCAGAGTTCATTTTCAAAGACAGTTATAGGAGCAATATACCTCCTTGGAGGCTGACATCAGCTCCAGAAAGGAGGCTTGAAACCCTCTGGGTCAAGCTGTGTGGGTAGGGAGGGGGGTGCAGAGAAAGACCTAACTATAGGTGTATACTACACACCATCAAATCAGGGGGAAGAACTCAGTCTGGAGTTCACCCAAGAACTGACAGAGGCCGTGTGTGCACAGAACATGGTCGTCATGGGTGACTTCAATTATCCAGACATCTCTTGGGAGGAACATTTGGCCAAGTTGGACCAGTCGTATTCCTTCCTGACCTACATTGAAGAGCTCTTCCTGGCTCAGGAGATGCATGGACCAACCAGAGGTAACACTCTCCTAGACTTGGTCCTGGCCAAAGGAGATGACCTGGTGACCGACTTAAAAGTAGAGGGCAGCCTGGGCGAGAGTGGCCATGAAACCATCACATTCACTGTCTTTTGCAAGGCAGACAAATCTGATAGCAGGGCTGAAGTCTTGGACTTCAAAAATGCAAATTTCAACAAGCTCAGGTCACTAGTAGGGCAAGTGCTGCTGGACCAGAGACCAAAGGCAAAAGATGTGCATGAAGAGTGGTCGCTCCTTAAGGACTCGATCCTTGAGGCACAAAGGAAGGAGAAAGGGCAGCAGAAGGGCTGGGAAGCCCTTCTGGCTAAACCGGGAAATCACAGTCCTCCTTAAAAAGAAGAAAGAGGCGTACAAACAATGGAAGCTGAGGATGGGCCCCAAGGAGGACAGGCCCCAACAATGGCCCTCACTTGTAGGGAACAAATTAGAAAGGCTAAGGCAGTGACTGAACTTAGATTAGCAATGGGAATCAAGGACAACAAAAAGTCCTTCAGGTACCTAGGGAACAAGAAGAAAGCAAATGGGAGTGTGGAACCACTGCTCAACAACTCAGGACAGCTGGTTACTGACATTCAGGAAAAAACTGAACTGCTGAATTGGTTACCTTGCTTCTGTGTTTCACCAGGCCATGGGGAAAATCATGCTAGATAGGGTACAGAATGAGCAGGGCAGAAATAACTGCCTCCCTACTGTTGCCGTAGAACCACTGTGTGATCAATTAAAGAAATTAGACATATATAAGTCAGCAGGACCAAATAAACTCCATCTGAGGGTGCTGAAGATGCTGGCTGACATCATCACAGAACCCCTGGTAAAACTGTTCCAAAACTCATGGCACTCCAGAGGGGTCCCTGAGGACTGGAAGAGGGCCAATGTTGTGCCCATCTTCAAGAAGGGGAGGAGGGAGGATCCGGGTAACTTTAGGTCAATTAGCCTAACCTCTATCCCAGGGAAAATCCTGCAAAAATTCATTAAAGAGTCTATGTGCAATAGGCTTGCAGAAGGTAGGATTCTGAACAGCAGTCAGCATGGCTTCATCATGGGCAGGTCTTGTCTAACCAACCTCATCTCCTTTTACGATCAGGTGACTCATCACCTGGATAAGGGAAAGTGGTGGATATTGTATATCTTGACTTGCAAAAAGCCTTTGATCTCTCCCACAATGTTCTTATGAGAAAACTGAAAGATAGTGGGCTTAACTGTGAAATGGTTAGGCGGGTATGAAGCTGGCTGCGGGGTAGGCCCCAGAGAGTCTTAATGAATGGATCTGTGTTGTCTTGGCAAGAAGTGGGGAGCGGTGTCCCACAGGGGTTGGTGCTTTGTCCTGTACTTTTCAACATCTTCATCAATGAGTTAGATGAGGGTGTGAAGAGTTCACTGGCCAAGTTTGCAGATGACACCTATGGGAAAGTGTGGTCACGCTTGAAGATAGGCTACAGATACAGGCGGATCTAGACAGGCTAGCAAGTTGGGCGAGTCAAAACCAGATGAAGTTCAACAATGAGAAATGTAAAGTGATCCACCTGGGAATGAACAATCCCCTGCACACCTACAGGCTTGGCAATGCCAACCTCACCAGCACTACAAATGAAGAAGACCTGGGGGTAATAATAGATGACAAAATGAATAAGAGCCGGCAACACGACTGTTGCCAGCAGGGCAAATAATACTCTGGCATGCATCAATTGATGCATCTCCAGCAAGACCAAGGAGGTGATTCATCCACTCTACTCAGCACTGCTGAGACCCCCAACTGGAGTACTGCATCCAGTTCTGGGCGCCATACTTTAACAAGGACGTGGTACAACTTGAGAGAGTCCAAAGAAGGGCCACCCGTATGGTCAGAGACTTGCACCGCAAGCCATACGAGAAAAGGCTGAGCAACCTGGGACTCTTCAGCCTAAAAAAGAGAAGGCTGAGAGAGGGCTTGGTAGCAGTTTACTGCTACCTCAGGGGAGTACATCAGGGGCTCGGTGAGCAACTGTTCACCAGGGCACCCTTGGGGAAAGCCAGGAGTCATGGCCACAAACTCCTGGAACACTGTTTCAGGCTCAACATTAGGAAAACCTTCTTCACAGTTAAGGTGTCCAGACTGTGGAATAAGTTCCTTCCAGAGGTGGTGCAGTTACCTACCCTGGAGATCTTCAAGTGGAGACTGGATAGTCATCTTGCTGGGGTCACCTGACCCCACCTGTCTTGCCTGCCTGGTGCAGGGCGCTGGACCTGATGATCTAAGGTCCCTTCCAGCCTTACAATCTATGAATATATGAATCTATAGCCATAGCCTCTTTGCTGATAACTTGCAGCAAATGTACAATTTAAGGTCATTTGTGGGGGCAATATTAGTGATCTAGGGACTTGAAATTGGAATGAGAACAGCAAAGTCATGTAATTAAAAAGCTATGATATAGCAGTGACTCTCAGACATTATCCAAGAGGGGCTGAATTCAAGCTAAGAACTTTAAAAGTGAAGATTTTTTTCCATATTTAAGTAAAAAAAATTGTAAACTATTTGAACATTGCAAGCTAGATGTTATTGAACTATTCAGCTCAGGAAGAAAGAATTGTCTCAAATGTTGCATTATCAGTGCAAAATTGAACAGATTTCATGTCCAAAAGGAATCATTTAGATGTTTAATATGATCTAAGCTTAAATAACCAACAGTGCTGTATCATGCTCAGTGGCCCATACAATGTAATCAGGCTACATCAAGCTATGGCATAAAAAAGAATTATTCTGAGGACTCTCATAATGAAAACACAAATAGATTCCTTCTATATAAAAATCACTTGCTACTGAAACTTCATGTGACATTGTCTTAAAAAAAAAGGACTACATAATCCTTCCTTCCCTCCTTTTCCACTTCTAACCTATTTACTGATTGATCTTCCATTGTGCTCCCTTCCCCCAAGTCTGTCTCTTATTAAAGTGCTTGCATTTCACTTTTGACCTTCCATTTAATTTCTAAAGTTTGGGTCTGGCCTTTGTCTTAATCATCATACTTCATTATACATGAAAATGCAAGGATGCTAGGCTCTGGAACTTCTTCAGACTTTCAGCTCTGGCTCACAATGCAGTTTGGAGAGCACAGAACCTTGCTGCAAGTCAGTCTCAGATTACTCACAAATTCAGCACATCTTCAGAGGCAGGGGGAACCAAAAGCCAGGGAGGAAACAGGAAATTGGGGCCTGCTGGGAAGAGGGAAGGCTGCTAGATATAAGTTCATGGGATTTTGGTTGTAGCCGTGTTGGTCTAACGACATAGGCAGGTTAGTTCTTTGGGTACATATGGTATCTTTTATTAGACCAACTGAGTAGTTGGAAGAAAGTTCTTAGGAAGCTTTCAGACTCAGTCACCCTTCTTCAGTCATAGGGAGTTTCTTCCCCCTCCCTTACCTGCTCTACCTTTTGTCTTGCTAATTTCTACCTATTTACATTTTTACCAACATCCTGCCACACTTTTAGCTCCTCTCTTTCCTTGGAGTCTCAGACCAGGAGAAACTCCCAATGCCTGAAGAAGGGTGACTGCGCCTGGACGCTTGCTAAGACCTTTTTTCCAACTACTCAGTTGGCCTAATAAAAGATATCACATCTACTCAAAGGACCTTGCCAGATATAAATTCATAGGTTTTGTTGCCGCAAAGGCTGGAATGTTGGTAGGTTTACAAGAGAAGTGGTGGCCTTAAGGTTCAAGCAAACAAACTAGAAACTTAATGTATTTGAGAAGTTGTTTTTTATTTCAAAGAAGGCAGTTGAGGTTTGCTCAACCCTACTTACTAAAAACATGACTGCATGTATGAGATCAGGGACACCTGCACAAC